ATACGGTATTATATAACCAACCCCTTTCTTCTGTGTCACTAACCTCCTGAATCTTCTCTGAACTTCGATTGCATCATTCATACGGTATTATATAACCAACCCCTTTCTTCTGTGTTACTAACCTCCTGAATCTTCTCTGAACTTCGATTGCATCATTCATACGGTATTATATAACCAACCCCTTTCTTCTGTGTCACTAACCTCCTGAATCTTCTCTGTGCTTCGAATGCATCATTCATACGAATTATATAACCAACCCCTTTCTTCTGTGTCACTAACCTCCTGAATCTTCTCTGAACTTCGATTACATCATTCATACGGTATTATATAACCAAGCCCCTTCTTCTGTGTTACTAACCTCCTGAATCTTCTCTGAACTTCGATTGCATCATTCATACGGTATTATATAACCAACCCCTTTCTTCTGTGTTACTAACCTCCTGAATCTTCTCTGAGCTTCGATTACATCATTCATACGGTATTATATAACCAAGCCCCTTCTTCTGTGTTACTAACCTCCTGAATCTTCTCTGAACTTCGATTGCATCATTCATACGGTATTATATAACCAACCCCTTTCTTCTGTGTTACTAAACCTCCTGAATGTTCTCTGAACAGTATCGAGCTGAAAAGTTTGGAATACATAAAATTGGAATGATAATTATGTTTTATTGTTTATTTTATGTGGTATTCGCTAGTTGCGTAAAATTTCAATGCTCACTCGTCATTGTTTAACTATTTTTCATATCAAGTACTGTTAAAAATCCTTATGAGTGTGCATGTATATCATAATTCACTAATAACCATTCGGAAGAAAATTACAACGGTCCGTTGACTGTCACGTGCTCTCTTTTCACACCTACGTCCTGTCAATTATAACTCTACAGGTACTGTCGGGTACTCTCCACTTACACCTAAATCCTGTCAATTAGAACTCTACTGGTACTGTTGTGTGCTCTCCACTTACAACTACAACCTGTCAGTTAAATCTTTACAGATGCTCTTGTGTACTCTCAACTTACACCTACATCCTGTCAGTTAGAACTCTACAGGTACTATCGTGTATTTTCCACTTACACCTACATCCTGATCAACATTTTGTTTGCAGAGTTTTTTAGTTGGACTTTTTACCAAAAGTGAAAATAAATTCCAGCTGAAGATGTAGATATTTGTACAGTTTGCTTCATTAACGTCCCTAACTTCCTCGACACAGAAGAGAAAATTTTACGAAACAATTAACTATTATCTTTGAACTGTTTTCTAACTTTACGAGCTAGAAATATCAAAGTACTAGGATAAAATTTAAGTCAAAAGCATATATCACATTTGTTCAGAGAGTGTGTTCTGATATCTGAATGTATAACATGTAAAAACATATCCCGGTTTCGATCATTGCCCTGTAATACAACTTCGTAACAAACTAAACAAAGGTAACAGTCTTTAAAAAATAACAAAGACTAAACTTTGAACATAGTTCACACAATCTCTGGACAAGAGCGTTCGTTCGTAGGGACAAGAAATTTCAGAAATATTTCAAGTATAACTTAATAAATATGCAGGCATGAAAAAAATGTTTGTCACAGGACAAAGATCGAGATTTACTGCGCACGTAAATAAACTAGAAACCATGAAATGATCCTTTAAAAAAATCATACTTTAATTAAATTTTTCGTCAGTAGACGCCCTAGTTGCTGGGTGGAATAAGTTGTAGGTGTAGTGGGTGTCGAGTTAATTTCTACCTACGTAATGTTCTATTATTGAACTTAATTTGTGTTTTTGTTTGTAGCATATTTTTTACTTCACTTTCCGCTGTCTCTCTGTAACGTGTTGACAACGTATAAAACTAATAAATATTTATCAATGGTTTGCATATATTAAAACGATAAGATTTGATAAATGACAAAGATCTTTGTAACACACATTCATAAAAGAATACAAGGCCATATAAATTTAGGCAGAAAATATACGGTGTATTTCCGTTTCGGTAAGATTTCCAATACTGCAAAAACTGGGGGGGGGGGTCTTTAAACCCCAAATAAATCAACATGAGTGTTCTCATGATAATTTTTTAATTATTAGAAAATCAAATCATCAATTTTAAACATGTTAAAACTAGCGATAAATATACACGTGGAAAGCAACTTATAAATCACAAATTACAGTTCAAATATACACTATTTTAGTTTTAGGGGATTTATTTTTCATTCTTTATCTGTTAAAAATTAGACATGATAAAATGCTATGAACTATAAACCCGACTTATAATATTTCAATATATCGTTGTACTTGTTCTTAAGTCATTTTTTTCCTTCAAACTGTCTCCAAACAAAATAAGTTGGAAAAGAAAATTATTTATTTTTTAATGAATAGTGTGGAAATAAAGTCTAAAAATCAAAAGGTGAATTGAAAATAGTGGCTTCTCACGCACGCAATAAAAATACTAGTGCCGTAGTAACAAATGGTTGAAATTTTCCAAGTAATCAAGTACCAACAACAACAAAATTACTAGACCAATCGTGGCCAGCCTGGCGTGTGACGTCGAATTGATTCCCGGTAGGAGATATAAGTGTACAACTGTTAAATCTCGCAAGGGTAGTGTACGTAAAGTGGTCGCTCTGTTTGGCACCCTTGTGTAGTTGCTCTGTTAAATACGTAAGTGTAAGCAAAGTTACCATAGGATGTAATTTGATAAACGGTTTAATGGTTACTTACTAGACTTATTAACGTTTAGAGTTTAAAATTTCTCACTTATAAGGTTGTAATAGAAAAAAAAAATATCGTAAGAAACACTGTTTTGTAATAATACAAATAAGGTAGGATTAGCAAGATAACGGGAACTATTTTACAAACTTTTCCTGCTGGGATTAGCTGCAGATTGCTGGACTTAATGCTAGGATAATCTTTATATAATCTTCTGAAGTTCGGTCGTTCAGCTGTTGATCATGTCGATTCAACTACCATTTTCTCCGTCGCATGTTAAACTGAAACTGAAATTTTGGAACAAACGCTCAATTTCCATCAACGATTGTGACTCTGTTTACAAAGGGGTGTATATGGGAAACGTGGTAACGCCGTGGGCCAAGGGTGACACTTGTGTTGACATAGCTTTGGCCACGTTGTGGACTAACTACTTTACGAATGTTAAACAGGATACTTACATGACGATAACTGTGTGTAACTCGGGTCTAAAAGCAGTGACAAAGGAGCATGGACTTACGGAATACTGGGCTAATCGCATCACCTACTGTGCAGCACACCCTCAGTATCCTCGGGTGTTCTGTTGGGTGTATAGACATGAAACTCGCCGCTTTAAGCAAGAGCTCCGCTGTCATGCTATTTTATGCGGTAAGGAAGATAAAGCTCAGATAATGGTAAACCAGTTGAATCAAAAGTTGACTGCTGCGCTTCAGGAGTTTCGTCGGGAAAAACTCACCCGACAAAAAGCACGATTGACGGTAACCAACTCCACGTCTGTGATCCCTACTTTACCACGCCGCAAACAGCTTCTCATCACTGGGACGGCTAACTTTCGGCCGCCCCTGGAACGAGCAAGAAGTGCTCCTAAGCTGACTGCTATCGAAGAACTAGAAGAAGAAGATTCAGAATTCGAAGAAGATCTGATCACTGACTTGGCCATTTCAGATCTTGAATCATCTTTAGATGTGGTGATAGATGATGTTCAACAGTTCGCGAGCCCGGATGTTGGTTCTGTTTCTGGTCAATATACGAGTCCTGTACAGTTCAATGAGCTAGATATTAAGCTCCAAAAAATACCATTCACTGACGACAGGACTCGTGGTGATGGTGATAGTGTTTCAACTGAATCCGGATACGGAGAGGATAAAGAAATAAGCTTGAATACATTTTCAGATGAGGATTAATATCAGCCATAGGTGTTTCCATGGTAGCTTTTGCACTAAACTACTGTATTTTTGACATTGTACCATTTATTAAAAAGAACTTGTCTCAGTTTTGACCTTCTTTTATATATGTGTGTCGCACTCTTGTACCATTTTTAATTTCTCGTGGTTACTGAAGTTTTGTGTGAATTCTATCCTGAATCCTACATTTATTTTGTAACCAATATGCCGACATCTTATTCGTGAACACAATAATAATCTTAAGAACTACGTGAAGACTTACCTTTTTATACGAGGGAAATTAATCTAACTTACCTCAAACGTGTATTTTGTGCCATGAGTTTTGAATACCGTTCGTTACCGAAATAAAGCATATCCAAATGAACGTAGTCTAAAACAATTCATTATCAGAAATTTGGGTTTTTCTTTGTAAAGGCTAATTTTAAACACTGAATACGGATTCATAGTTCTATGGTTTGTTAACCAGTCTTCATTGCGAACGGTCTTGTTCCATGGCAATCAACAATTATGATGTATATGTTGGATTGAAAATATAGAACTTATAGCTTATTAAATAGTTTCCATGTGTGTGTTTGTCAAGAAATATGTGCATATTCAACATTAAGTAATAGGAACATGGCTCTGAAACTATTTACAGATTATAATGATTTTACTAAACAGATTTTGTGTTAACAGAACAGTAACAGTGATTTTATTTAGTCAGGTTTTTGGTTAACATAACAACAATGGTGATTTTATTTAGTCGGGTTTTATTGTTAACATAACAACAATGGTGATTTTATTTAGTCGGTTTGTTTTTGTTAACATAGCCATAACAATATTATTAAGGCATATACATAGCTGAATTAAATTAACTGATATAGAAAGTTAACCTGTTAAATATGTAAGTTATACAACTGGTAAATTCTATGCCTTTCGATGATTCTGTTCCCCTGGGATCTATGAGGATCTATCCAAATTCGCCCTAAAATCCCTTGTGACATTGCATTGCCTATCATGTTCTATTATTAATGGATAAAGAATAGTGTATCAGTTTTTAAAAACTATATACTGTTCTATTTTGGAGTACTACGCCGAGGCAGCTGTTTCTGGAGTCTTAATAAAATGTATGGAAGTCATGAAAGCGTCACTACAAGGCGTTCTATCAAAGAACTTCAACGTGTATTCTATGATTCAATTGTCTGCGCACAATAACAGCTTGTTGAATGGCCTGTTAACATTCCTTATTATTATAAGCATTTCCGAAACATTATCTGGTTAATAATTAACGAAGATATTTGCCAAATGATCAATATTCTTAAACTAAATGGAATTTTACATATCTTTAGTATTTTAGCATAATATTAATGAAGCAAAAATATCCTAATTTTATCTCTCTCTATCTCTCTTTTTTTACGAAGAGTAAACTCAAAACGTATTTCTTAATTCGGTAATTTGTTATAATAAGTTTATTTTTAACCTTATACGATTACTGTTAACTTCTAATCAAAGCAAGCCACCTACATTGATCAGAATTGAGGTATATACATAGATATTGTGACTAGCATGGCTAACTTATTATAATGTTAAAACTATGTTACTTATAATGATTGAAATGCATTGTTTAATCAGTTTGGTTCTTATATTAATGGTTGTTTTAGTGCAAAAGTACACAATGGGCTGTCCACGCTCTGTCAGTCATAGAAAATCGAACCCCGGATTTTAGCGTTGTAAGTCCGTAAGCTTACTGTTGACATTATATCAGTGTAAGAAACGATTTTTGATATTAAAATAATCTATAATAGAAATATTTACTTCTGATTTATGATAACGCTGAAACATCAATGATACAGTGTTTGCTGAGGGTACTCGTTAATTTGTTTGTTTTGATGTTAAGCCCACGGTTACACAACGGGCTATCTGTGCTCTGCCCACCACGGGTATCGAAATCCGGTTTCTGGCGTTGTAAGTCCGCAGACTGGGGGGGGGCGTACTCGTTAAGGAAGCGAAAACTGTTTAAGAGAAAATGTCAGATAATTTTCCCCTTCCTTCTTTCTTTTGTTATTAAATCCCTAATGACTTCATTAGATGCTAATTGTATAAGCTGCTTTGCAGAAGGTAAACATCGACTCATTTAACTGATTAAGTACTAGTGTATTTAAATTAAAAGATAACAATATATTTAAAAAGAAAAGTGGAAATGTGCCCTATTTCAGGGCGTTTTTATGAAAACAATCTATTTAAAAAAAAGTGGAAATGTGCCCTATTTCAGGGCGTTTTATATGAAAACAATCTATTTAAAAAAAAGTGGAAATGTGCCCTATTTTAGGGCGTTTTTATCCTCCTTCTAGGAAATAAATTCTAAAACAAATACATAAGGGATCAACTTTACAGTAAGATACGTTATATTTTTATTGAACAGTTTGAAGTTAAGCACAAAGCTACACTATATCTTATCTGTGCTTTGCCCACCGCAGGTATCGAGACACAATGTTTAGCATTTATAATTCTTCAGACTTGCCACTGAGCCACCATGGGGCCCTATTGAGCAAACAATGAAATGTGTTTTGTTTTTTAAGCTATTTGTATTTCGTGTAATTTAACTAAAATAAAACGTTATTTTTTCATGTATTTCATTGGTATGAAATTAGATATAAATATTTCATAAAGTATAGCATATAGTCCATACCTTGGTGGGTCCAGTAAGTTTACTGGCTTGAAACGTCAAAATGTGTGGTTTACTTCGTCGTTGTGAACATACAGCCCATTGTGTAGCTTTGCGATAAAACAATCAAATACAATATGTAATATTTCATTGCTAATAAATTGAGATTTACAGTTTCAGTAAAACAGGTAAATTCACTTTCACGCTTTGTTATATATATATATATATATATAAAACGTTTTTGCAACGATTTCAGAATAATTATCCTGGTGGTAAATAAAAGTAACAAATGTGTTATATTTACTGTAAGTGTGCTATTTTTCAAATGTATTTAGAACATTTTTCTAGGTTGCATCATCTATGAATACTTTGTAATTATTTTAATCAACATACTTTTAAAGATTTAAGAAATTGACTGTTAATTTGCGTTTATTGTACATGTATGTCTCACTAAAAAATTTAAATATTTCTTGATTATATGAGAAAGATTTAATTTATTGCAGGCTTTCTTTTTTTATTAATGAATAAAAACAAACTAGCCTTCTTTGAATCTCTTTATTTCTGGGCGTTTTTAATATTTTAGAGTAAAATAAAAATGCTTTTAAGTAAATATTACACTGTATTAATTATCAAAAACTTCAAATGTATTTCCTTAGAATAATCATCAGCAAAACTATGTCATTATTATATGATAATAATATAGAAGGTTAATTCGCCTATTTTTCGAACGTTAAATACGTTAATCTAGTTACAAGTCCACCCAAAAAGCCATTACAATGAAGCTGGGCATATCTTCTAGTGTTATTAGCAATATACTAGGACTGACATGGTCTAGTCATTTATACTCCTACTATTTGTTTACGCTTAGTATCATTACTTAGGCCCGGCATGGCCAGGTGGTTAGGGCGCTCGACTCTGAGGGTCGCGGGTTCGAATCCCCGTCACACCAAACATGCCAGCCTTTGCCTGGTCCCAAGTCCAGGATGAGAAAGGAGGAGGGTTGGGCGCGGGTCTAGCAACTCCACCCCGTAAAAATCAACCTGCTACAAGTAACTGCAGCAACACCTTCCGTTGGCGAGGTGTTGCTGCGGCCCTATGCTCCACTGGGAGTTTACAGGATAAAAAAAAAGTATCATTACTTAGATTTGATATTTGATATTTTCAACCTAAACTGCACCTTGCGTGATACGTGAGGTAAACGACCAGATTTGAGACTCCACGGCTCAGTCACTGTGATCCATATTTAAGAACAGCTGGCCAGAGGGAGGAAAAGTGTTCAGAAACGTCAATTGCTTACGCGGTTACTCCTACTCGAAAAAGGGGATTGACAATCACATTTATAACTCCACCAAAGCTGAAAGTTCGGAGTATGTTCAGCTGCATATTGCGACTCGGAACTTCGAACCGCAGCCCGGTACGCTAACTACTAGTCTAGCCCACCATTCATTAGTGATAATTTGTGGTTTATGCCTAAGGAATGCGAAATTGCACAGACTGTAAGCGTATTTATTTAAATTTAATACGTTACATTGCATTACTCAGTAACATTTAACGAATTTTAATGATTTGTTCTTGATCTTCAACAATTATCTAACAGAATCATAAATGAATTAAAATCAACAGTTATGCAGTGTGGCAACGTATTTTAATAGCCATGACTTTAATTATAAATTAAAACCCAGTAATAGCAAAATTTATTGTCCACACTTAGAATCTTAACCAACAGAAACCGCCAGCAGACAACTTAATTAATTACAGAAGAATAATTAACCAGCAATTATATGGCTGTTTGATGGTCTTGTTTTATCAACATAGAACATATGGTTATTTCATGATGTTAAAATATCAAATAACATTTATCTGGTTCTTTAATGACGTTTATTCATCAACCAATAGCTATCTGGCTGTTTGATGACGTTTTCCATCTTGTTGACAATATGATACATTTTGTGTGTTTTCCAAATTGTCTGCACATGTATTTCAGTAGTTAATGCGTGAGCAATCATTCGAGAAACTGACAATAGTACTCAGACAATAACGATACGGTTATCTACACATTTCTTTGTTTGCTCAGACGTTGAACAACTTTTTAGAAACAACGTAACTGGGAGGAGAAGAGGGGTAGTTTCCTAACCCATATCTAACAATAAGCTGACCTTGAGTCTCAAGCATACTGGAAACTAGTCCTGTTTAATCTTTTGACGAATGCATGGTTAATTCAAAGCCCTTCCTTAGGATGCTCTGTTTACTCACTTCCATCCTTCCCACTGACCAACATCAATTACAGGGAGCGATGAACCACCTTTGGTTTTGTTACATATATTGCCGACAATCAGATTATGGGAAGTGGAACAAAATAATAGTTACGTATTAACTAATGCAATGTTAAAAGATAGACTTGAGGTTAAGTATGTATGTATATGCATAAATGATACCATTTCAAATCTTCACTTACCCACGATGCAAAAAACACGTGTTACAAAAGGCTAAAGAACACAATAGAGTGAAAGATATAAAATAAAGGTCCCAATGACTGCTAAAGATGTCGCTAAAGTTATTACATGGATGAAAAGGCTAAAGAACACAATA